ACCAACCCAATAAGTTCTGTAGGATTCAATGTGGCAGGGGTTTAGAATGCTGTCTGCTCAGTTTACTGTTACTATTACACTAACTCACATATTTCTTTTCTATCTATATTTATCTTTTTGCCTGCCCTGCTTAGGAAATTACCCCCAAATTTATTTTTTACTTATTTATTTATTTTTAATTTTTTATTTTACTTATTTTTTATTGAACTATAGTTGATTTACAATGTCAATGTTAGTTTCAGGTGTACAGCACAGTAATTCAGATCTTTTCCCTTATACGTTACCACAAAATATTGAGGAAACTTCCCTGTGCTATACAGTAGGTCCTTGTTGGTAATTCCTCCAGTTTTTAAAAGGTATTTGGGAATATTCCTTCCAGTATCTCCAAAAGTCGAGTATGGGACATCCCGGGTGCCTTGGTAAATATGGACAAATGAATGGAACTCCATTTGGCCCTAGGTATGAGCTGTACAACCTCTTCAGAAACTAAATCATGGGTTTGCTTTTCATCTGATTCCTTGTAAAGCCACTTGGGAATGGTCCTGGGGGAGGAGAGGGTGTGAGTAGAAGCTGGAATAAGAACCTGGTCTTTCTGATGGACTCTGTGTCCTGAAATATCAAGTTAGCATTTCTCTGGAGTTTGGGGTGAGATCTCACTTGCTCAGATTATGCCGTGAAATAAATACTGTAACACTAACCCCATTCCAAAGTGGGGTTGCATGTTTGTATGGAATGTGAGGGTCCTTTGTCCCGTGAGTATACGTGAGAGCACAGTCAGGACAGCAACTGGTTCCATTCCAACAGTGAGCAGGTGAATAATTTAACATGGATGTTTTCATAGACACTGGGAGACACTCTTTATATGGTGGCAATAAAGGTTTTGTAATTGCCGCTGACTTATTCAGTGTTGATTCCAGCCTTCACCATATCATTAACCAATATTGCACAACCAAAATTCTACTATCAAGTTGGCTACACTACTATAATGTAGTGTCCTGGATTGGATCCTGGAACAGAAAAGGGACATTAGGGAAGAAACTAGTGAAATTCAAACAATATCTACCGTTTAGCTAAAAATAACATACTGATGTTGATTTCTTAGTTTTGACCATACTATAGTCAAGTAAGATGTTAAAATCAAAGTGGCTGAGGAATATACAGAACTCTGTGTACTATCTTTGCCACTTTTCTATAAATATACAATTATTCCCAAATTAAAATTTTATTTCAAAAAAAAAGTGTGCTTTTAACACAAACAAGTTGAGAAACAGTGATCCAGGTGATACGGTGTCCCCACAGCCCCTCATTCACGTCCCCCATTCTTAACACTAGGGACTTCCCTGGCGGTCCAGCGGTTAGGACTCTGCACTTCCACTGCGGGGGGCGTAGGTTCGATCCCTGGTCAGGGAACTAAGATCCTACAAGCCGCCGGCGCAGCCAAAAAAGAAAAGAAAAGAAGAAAAAAAAAGGTTCATCCCGTTCTTAACACCAAACGGAGCCTACATTTACCCTGGACTCTCAAAAGGGGTGGGAGGTGTCATTGGCAGGCAGGAGGCTGGGGTCGGGGAGACAGCATGTTCACAGCACTTGAGGACAAAACGTGCCTTCAAAAGCAAACTGTAATTACACAGAAGCCTAGGAGCCTTTGCAGAAAATCACTATCTCATCTGAATCTACATCCTGTTAATCAAAGAGGTCCAAGACCTTTTGATTATCAGACTAAATATTTTTAGGCAATATCACTGAATGCCTGGAAAGGCCCTTCAGCATCTGCTGAAGAAAAATCCATCTTCAGATAAAAAAGGCAAGTCCTGCCTATCACCAGAAAAATCAGCTTCACAAAACTGATAAAGGTTGGCAAAAAATTTCCCCATATGGAAGCCCTCTGCCCCCTATTTGCCTTCACCCTAGTCCTTCTCCACTCCCCTCCTTCCAAATATCCAGATTTCCAGACTGACTGTTGATTCTCTTAGCATTTGAACAAAGCATAAGGGAACGATCATAAAGTGATCCAGCTTTAGTATCAAGAGGAGGAGAGATAAATATATGGAGATGATTATTCTCCTAAAGCAATGTCAAGTGAGTAATTGAACAGAGATGAAAATAACATTTAAGTTGGGCCTATCGAATTTCCAGTCAAATCTGGCAACTTGAATGTTTAGTGAAGAACACCCTAAAAATGGCATGATGTGTCCCTTCTTGTTGTATCACAAATAGATGCATCTTTCATTCCGTTTTTTGTAATGGTAAATCTTTGTAGCTCCCATAATGTCCAGAAAAGGGTTTTATATTCAATAGGTGCATGCTAATTCTGGTACCAAGATCTGGTCCTACTTTCTGGTTATTAGAATTCCTTCTCTCCTAGTTCTCTACTGGTCAGAGTGGGCTCTGGTGACGGTTTGGCTTCTTGAACATTTAATAACTGATAAATATCAGTTATCTAGTCCTATCTTCTCAATGAACTTCCCAAATCATTCTTTGTTCTGAACATACAAATTTTTCCCACATGTCTGCAATATATAAAGAGCTCCTGTAAGTCAACAAAACACAAACATGTAATTACAAGGAAACACAATCACTACCAACTACTGAATTAACTTGTTATATCAATTAAACTTATTAATGTAAATCTGTGGAAAGGCTATATGCTTCTTATTTTCAGATAGTCCCAAAAACAGTTGGAAATAAGGATTGAACCAACCTAGCAAAATTATATGAAATTAATATCTGTGGTAATTCTTATGAGAATGCAGTGTTTGTGACATAACACCTGGAATTCTCCCCTGTAGTTTGCCAGGAATGCTCTGGTGTAATTCTACCCAGTAAAATATTACAAGACACATTTTTTTTCTTAGTATAAAAAGACCATTGATTACTGAAACACAAATATAGACTAAAAGCAAGAATCATAAATAAACCAAGTTAGCCTGTCACAGGAGACTATTGAATTGCTCAGTACCTGGACACCCATCTCTGAACAGTAATTTATTCTCAGTACAACTTTAAACAAAAATCCCTTACTAAAGGGACTTCCCTGGTGGCACAGTGGTTAAGACTACACGCTCCCAATGCAGGTGGCCTGGGTTTGATCCCTGGTTGGGGAACCAGATCCCACATGCATGCCCCAACTAAGAGTTCGCATGCCACAACTAAGGAGACCACCTGCTGCAGCTAAGACCCAACACAACGAAAAAGATAAATATTTTTTTTAATTCCTTACTAAAGCAAGATTCATTAATGTCACCTGCCCTTTTTGCCTGATGGAATGGTGAAATTTGAGTGCCTTCAATGATTTTGTTATTCCACTCAAGTGCTGATTCAAAATCATCCTAAAAATTGAAACTTCAAATGAGAAACTTTCAACGGCTGCCTTTTATAGCCAGGGACTCAACACTATTTCCGCTTTCTCTACTTCATGGTCACAATCACTCACTTATGATCTTTGGGACTCACATACACCTAGGTTCAACTTATTTCCCAGTGCATTCTGAAGGAGAATGTGCTCATTTCCATCAAAACCAGAATTGGATATGATTGCCATATCAGAGTTGGCGCAATTTACCATACCTTTCAGGGCTGTGAGATTTGGCCATAAAACTTCCAATGGCTGGTGTATTTTGCTCTAAAATGTGGCTATTTCTCATATCATTTTATGGTCCAGTTCACAAATAAATAATGTCAGATTATTTAATATAATGAAACCTAAGACCTACTTAGTAACCCATTTTCAAACCATGTACACACTGACTTTGCCAACATACAGCAACATTTCCAAGGCCATGAACAACTGTCACCATGCAGAATCAGAGAATTTTCATCACCTATGTCAAATTCCACAGGCTTATTCCTCTACCCGTTGAGCATGAAAATTTGCAACCAGTCCAAAAGTATGATTCAGCAAATAAAACACCAATGCCGCTCCTCGTGCAGCTTTAGCAAAGGCGACCCAGACTAGAAAAATGTGCACTGCCAGAAATGTTTCTGTTTTTAAGAACCTCCAGCCACAACTGAATGCATCCTTTAAATTGTCTGGCTTTTGTTATTGTAAACCAACCCCTCCACATTACTTTAATGTGGCGGTTACTTGAAAACATAATTGCTAGGAGTAACCACGGTAGTACACTACCGTCAAAAACAAAACCATCTTGTTTTCCCCACTCCCTGTTCTCAGTGCACCGGCTCCATAATGTATGTTGTATATACAGATCTTTGAAAGGAAAGAAAATCTTTGGGACCATACTAAGATCCCCAACTATGCTCCATCAGCTAAAGAATACATATTGAAACACAATAGCAAATGCAGCTTTTTTTTTCCTGGAAGAACAATGGAACAATTTGCTACTGTTGAATCATACGTACACACCCACCCCAAACATAACCACAACTCAAAACTCCACACACATGCACACACGCACACACATACACACACACAGAGTTTGTGGATTATATTTACGAAACTCTAGTTTTATGAAAAATCAATCTAGTTCTTCTGAACCAGTGTCTGTTAACTGAAAGCAGCATGAAACCTAAAAGACACAATTGGTCTACCTCAGGAGGGAGACAGATAAGCAAATGAACCATTGCTTAACAGATTACCCCATCAAGATGAACCAACAAAATGGCTTATCGGCTAACAGATTTACTATCTAAGATGAACCAACCAAGTAATCCATTGGTTAACTAGGTACCCAACCATGATGAACCCACCAAGAGGGCCATTAGTTAACAGATCAACCAAGATGAACCACCCAAGTGGTTCTGCTAATAGAAGAACCAAACATGAGAAATCCACCAAGTGGGCCACTCTTTAACAGAGAAACAAACCAAGTGAAATCTGAGGATGCCAAACACAGTTTGATCCAGAAGAGATAAAATAAAACTTCTTATTCAACAAATAGAAGCTCTTCATGGACCCAAACATACACCATGAAATCTGGAGTGGTGTGACCACCACTTGGGTCACCACACAGGACTGGAATGGATCGCACAGCTGTACTTACGAAGATTATTTATGGGGGTTCTGGTATCCATGTTCTCATAATGCTGGACATGGACCACGATGTTGAGATCTCTCTCCATGTGGTCAGTGTTGCAGTGGCCCTGTGGCCTCATGACATCTGCAAGGGCCCTGAAAGAAGAGAAAATTTAAATCTGTTCATTCAAAACAATGATTGGCACATAATTGGGCCTATGAACAAAAGACAAGATCCCTTCCTCCATGGAGCTGCCATTCTACTGAGGGGCAGAGGGGAAAAAAAGACATTAGTAAGTAAGATCACTGCAATTAGAGATTACATAAGGACCTCACGCAGAACAGTTCACATGCCTCTCACAATAGTGATGTAATAGCAGTGTTACCTACTTTATAGAGTTGTTGAGAGGATTAAATGATGAATATATGTAATATGTCTGCACCCCACAAGTTTAGTTCCCCTTTATGACTAACCCTAGATACCAACACTTCACGTACAGCAATGGCCCACTATTCCTAACAATAAGTAACATTTACTGAGTACTTACCATAAGCCAGGCACTATACTAGTCACGTTACATACTTTAATTCAACTAAGCAGCATGTAAACATCTTATGAGGATTACTACTCTATGTTTGCAGATGAGTAAACAAAGACTCAGAGAGGTGAATTGATTCCACTTACATGAAATGTTCAGAATGGGCAAATCCACAGAGACAAAGTAGATTAGTGGTTGCCAGGGGCTGGGGGTGTGGGAGGGGAAATAGGAAGTGACTGCTAATGAGTGAAGGGTTTCTTTTTAGGATGATGAAAATGTTCTAGAATTAGACAGTGGTGATGGTTGCTCAACTTTCTGAATATACTAAAAACCACTGAATTGTACACTTTTTAGTATTTTTTAATATTTAGTTATTTGGCTGCGCCAGGTTTTAGTGGCGGCACGAGGGATCTTCATTGTGGCATGTGGGATCTAGTTCCCTGACTAGGTATCAAACCCAGGCCCTCTGCATTGGGAGGGTGAAGTCTTAACCACTGGACAACCAGTGAAGTCCCTGTACACTTTTTTTTTAATCCTAAATATACTGAGATGGAGTGGTCTGGAAAAGCCTTTCTGAGGAGGTGATATTTGAGTACAGCCCTGAGCAGTAGAAGGAGTTGGTCACATAAAGACGATGAAGAACATTCTGGGCAGAGGGGCAGCAAGTGCAAAGGTCCTGAGGCAGGAAAGAGTTCAGGTTATCTGAGGGACAAGCAAGAAGGCCAATAAAGTTGGATTATGGCAAACAGGGGGGATAATGTTACAAGGTGTGGATTATCCATTCTCCAAAACAAAAAAATGCCCAAGTTAACTCAGTTAATCAGTGGAGGGACTAAGATACAAATCTGAGTGTCTTTGAAATCAGAATCCAGGCTCCTTCCTACTCTGTGCAGTAAGCAAGGCCTGAAGCTCAAAGGGGCTGTAGGGAAGGAATGTTTGAAACATAGAATAGATGCCTCCCAAACCTAATTTGCCTTTTTTCACTTTTAAACAGGCTCTTTATATGAACTTCAGGGGATCTCTGAACTCCTCTGGAATTGAATGGAAATTTTATTTGTGCGTTTTTCTCAAAGAAGAAGCCATAGATCTCAACAGATTCTCTAAGGAGTCTCTCCAAAATTTCAGAATATTCGGACTTTCAAGAGGATAGCAAAGTAAATATTCAGGATGTCTATCCATGAACTCGGTCAGCACTGCCATCGGCAGATTCCCTGGGCTTCTTCTGAGTGCCAAAATTCATGAAGTTCACCTAAAAGCCGAGCCATACTTTTTCCAAGGCAGCCCTTCCCAGAGCATGCAGTGAAGACAGGGATTCTTAGAGCCCGCACATCCTGGACAAGGAGTCTTCAAGATGTGGTCCACTCACTCAGGGACTGCCTAAAATAATTTGGCATGGGGCAAGGAAACATGAGAACTTCTGTGTATGGTCTTTAGTCATTAAGAATAAGAAATAAATTTAATATGTGAATTGATGCTGGAGCCCTCATTTGGAATACCCATGTCAGATGGTGAGAATCTGGAGTCTTGGACCAAGGAGGGTGGCTAGCAGTGGCACCATCATTAGGCTGCATCATCTGTATTGCAGTTATGTGCACCCCTAAAGCGGATGTGCAGGCAAAGTATCTAGTTTTACTAGGCTAACCATCACTACGTGGACATGGGGCTTAAAAATGTCCCCCATAACAAAACCACAGCTTGGAGATAATACTGATGACACGAGCACAGGAAAAAGACAGATTGGACTCTCCCCTCCTCTTCAACAGCTTCTCACAAGGTTAAAACAATGATGGCCTATTCAGATCAAAATGAAGTCAGCCAAAAATAATCAAAGCTCTCAGGAAAACTATTCAAACTATGGATTTATTTATGAATGATGAGCTTCATCCTCAACACACATTAGGCTTTGAGAGATGAGCTAATGATTGCACGAAGTCAGCACCATTGGCAACAAATTGTAAATATTTATTTCACCTTCAGCTCACTTTAATATTTCTGTTCTTATGTATGCTTTATAGTGTATCTAAACAACAAGGCCCTATTGTATAGCACAGGGAACTATATTCAATATCCTGTAATAAGCCATAATAGAAAAGAATATGAAAAAGAATATATATATATATAAAAAACTGAATCACTTTGCTGTACAGCAGAAATTAACACATTGTAAATCAACTATCCTTCAATAAAATTTTAAAAAATAATAAATGCTATAGTGTACATAATTTTTGTTGGTATGTGCACATATTGGGGTGTATGCTAAAAAAATGTTACAATTAGGGATGTGTTTTTAACAATTAGTGAATTAGTGGAAAGAACCAACTATGTACTACAAGCCAAACAAATGCCCAAGGAATTGGTATTTATGTGTGGCACGTACTTCAGGTGCTTCTCAAACTCGAATGTGCATTCAGATTACCTTCGGGGTCTTGTTAAGATGCAGATTCTGATTCAAGGTGTCTGAGGCAGGGCCTGAGATTCTGCTCAAGCTCCCAGGTGATGGAGATGCTGCTGGTCCACAGGCCACAATCTGAATAGCAAGATTCTAAAGGTAATGTCATGGTAAATTTTATGTGTCAACTTGACTGAAGAGAACAAAGATTTGGTCAAACATTATTCTGGATGCGTCTGAGAGGGTGTTTTTGGATGAGATTAACATTTAGATTGATAGACTGAGGAAAGCAGATTGCCCTCCAGGAGGTGGGCCTCATCCGATCAGTTGAAGGCTGGAATAGAACAAAAGGCTGACCCTCCCCCAAGTAAGAGAGCATTTCCCTGCCTGATGGCCTTCAAACTGGGACGTCAGCTCTTCATGTTTCTACGGCTTTCAGACTCAAACTGGGACCTTGACTCTGCAGACGTTGGACCTCCCAGCTTCAATTAACATGTGTGGCAATTCTGCATAAATCTCTTCATAGATAGATAGATGACAGATAGATAGATACATACATAGATAGATACATAGATAGATCTCCTAGAGGTTCTGTTTCTCTGCAGTACCCTAACTAACACAGGCACCTTATTGAAGAAACTACACTTTTCCTTGATATCCCTTAACCCAGCTCCAAATTGTTAGTTAAAACATTGCCATTTTTGAGGTTGAAGATGATGGAATATTGGCAATTTCATAAGGTTCAACTTAGTATCACTTCACTTGTATATTTACTTGTACATTACCTGTCTCCTGCCATTTGACCATGAGCTCTGTGCCTGCACTATTTGCTGCATTCTCAGAGCTCTCTGCACAGGGCTGGGTATACCATAGGTACTCAATAAAAACCTATTGAATGAAAAAAAAAACCTATTGAATGAATATATCAATGAGCAAATGAATGACTGAATGAGAAGATACCTTATGTCATATAAACCAGGATGTCAGGAATCAGAACTCCTATGTGCCAGGTACCGTACTAGGACACAGGTGACAGATGGGGAAGAGACTGTTAGCATCCTTGCACTCCTTAATGTGAAAGATAACGGAAGGAGACAGATAATAAACTAGTAAACTAGTAAATTATTAAGTTCATTTTAGACTGTAATGTGAAATGAAGCAAATAACATTGAGTGATGGGCTGGAGGGGGCAAGGAGGGGTGCGTTAGTAAGTAAGCCTGTGGGGTCAGGGACAGCGTCTCAGACAGGTGACATTGAGCTGAGACTTGAATGCAGAGGAGGGGCCAGCCAGAGAATTTGAGGCAAACGAACACAACAACTCCAAAGCAGCAATGAGCGTGGCATAGCTGAGGAACAAAAAGAAAAGGCTGCATCCCTTTTCTTTCCAATTACAGAAAGCAAATAAAAGACCCCAGTATTACCGAACAAAGCTCAGAGTTCCAGCATCTTGCTTCATAGCCTCCAGGGGTTCCAAGGTCTAAACTATGTCCTGCCTTTTAAACACTTGAATGGGATTCCTGAGAATTTCCTCTTTTACCAGAAGCATCATTTATTTTTCAAGGATCTAAGGGCAATGGGCACCAGGTACCTTTCTGGAGTAGTGGTTATACAGGTGTAGACATTTGTCCAAGCTCATCAAACTGTACAGATAATGTGTGTGCATTTTATTGTGTAAATTAGACCCCAATAAAGTAGATTTTTTAACATCTTTATTGGAGTATAACTGCTTTGCAATGTTGTTAAAGTTGATTTTTCAAATGTAAGGACTCAGTACCCAAAGAGAAGCAAACATATTCTGCAAAGAAAAATAATTTAGACTTTTCCATGGCCAACAGTATATGCATTCATGGGCTTCGCCAGCCTGGGGAGCTGGTGGAAGCCACAAGATAACCATAAATGTGTAAGAAAAAGGGGAGGTGGAAGGGAAGCTGGAATAAGAGAGAAAAGGCAAGGGAAGAAGGGACATATATCACTTGATGCCATTTCTTTGCAAGAGACTCCAATACTTGTGAAGCATGTTTGAAAAACACACAGGACATTGTGCTACATAATTTGTCACTTGGATTTCAGATTCTGTCTGAAGGTGGGCAAAATAATGACGTGTGTTCCCTACTGGCTTCGAGTGTAGAGAGCTTCCTGCCCCAAGGTCATTTCTTACCGATGCCTTTGCCAAGGGGCTGGCCCTGCCAGGGGCAGATGCAGAAAACATGCCTAGTCTTGATCTGACA